AAACTGCTTTAAAATATTATGATTTAGAAAACTGGGAATGATAAAAATTTTAGAGGCTGCTAACCAAATGCAATGAATATTAACTTAACTTTGTAAAGCTCTCCTGTGTGTTCTTGGTCACAGGGTGTGTGTGTGTGTGTGTGTGTGTGTGTGTGTGTGTGCTTGCGTGAACATACTGTGTACCTACACGTGTGCATGCATCTCACATGTTTAGTTGGGATGCTAGGTAGATGGGATGCCAGTTGCAGAACTCTACCAACCCACAGAATGTGCATTTTATATACATGTGTAGTATATAGAACTATATGATAATACTCTGGCTATGTCATTTCATATTTTCAGAAAGACTAAATTTTAACCAATTTTCTAAAAATTCAAGTTATATTTTCAGTGTTGCTTTCAAGCATGTAGATTTCAGAATAAAAACTGAAAAATAGAAGCTATATCTTCAAAGCAAAATTCAGCCCATATACTTGTGTCTATTAGGAAATACGTATGGGGAACTTGAATCTAAGTGATTCATTTATTAGTTTGGTAATACTGTGTTTTTAATGTGTCTGTACATTTTAAAAAGTAACTTAAAACTAAAGTAGGAATATTATCCTCACCTAAAACTACCCTATGGTATTTTAAACTGTAAAAATTCAGGAAATGGTGTTTTGTTTAATACATTGGAAAGAGCATTCCATTTTTAAATCCCTTATATAAGATTTTTTTAAAATGGCTGTTAAATCTTTTATATTCAACTTTTCAAATAGTAGTATTTTGAGAATGAAGAGCTAAATAAGTGAAATTCACTTACGTAAAAATTCTCCTTTAAAGAAGAAAATACATGATTACTGATAGAATGATTACCATTTACTTTTTAGTTTTAGTTGCATATATAAAATATCTGCCCATTATCATCATTGTATTTTGTTTTGTTTTTGTTTTTTTTTTGCAGATAATTTACTTTCAAAAATGTGCTTAAAATTGTTTTTCTGGCATAATTGTTTGGATTGTGAAATGTACATGATTTATTTTAACATTGTAACAAATATATATATATAGGTTATTGCATCTATATTATGGTTTCATGTGAATAATTTGCCATTTCTTTCTGTTTTCCATTGAACTATTCAGTGGTCGGGGAAGATGGTAAGCCTTATGTGCTGATCTATATACTGTGCCAACATTAAATAATCTCAAATCATTATTTTGTTTAAAGTCAAAACAAATAGTAAGGTACAGATCCACATTTTCATTTTATATGTTTTTCTTTTTATGATTTAATCTATATAGAGTCCAACAAATGCCAGTACCTCTTGATATCATAAAAATTCAAAAATAATGTGGTTAACCTATAATCAGTCCATTAAGTTCTTGAATGTTATTGAGTCCTTATTTAGTCCTTGTCATGTTACAATGTTACAGAGAATAAAATTATAGTTAAAGTAGTGGCCTGGTGCATAAATTCGTGCACATTGAAAGGAAATTAATTAAGAGAAATATTTTTTTTAAAATATATTTTATTGATTTTTTACAGAGAGAAAGGGAGAGAGATAGTTAGAAACATCGATGAGAGAGAAACATCGATCAGCTGCCTCCTGCACATCTCCTACCGGGGATGTGCCCGCAACCCAGGTACATGCCCTTGACTGGAATCAAACCTGGGACCTTTCAGTCCGCAGGCCGACGCTCTATCCACTGAGCCAAACCGGTTTCGGCGAAATATTTTAATATTGCTGTTCGTCGTTTCTCTATAATGGAAGTGTCAACCACATTCACGATCAACAATGACAGATGGAAACACAGGCGTGCGATTGGCGCCAGCGAGAGCTTTATATGTATCGCGCATATGCGAATCAACTTAGCCTTTTATAGATATAAACTTGCTTAATTAGACCTGCTTTCTGATTTAGCTAAACTTTTTCCAGCCCAGTGAAGCACCCCAACTTCTCTTTCAGGTAATTGTCAGCAACACAGCAGTAAATATCAACACGAAGCAGATTATTATTGTAGATCACGCAGGGAGAACAAAGGGTAAAATATTTAACTGCAGCAGTGTTTGACTATATTCTGCGCAGTGAGAAAACCTGAAGGCATTTTCAAGGTCCACCATTTCTTCTTTTCAGTCGGGTCAAGTTTCTAAGCTTTCTAAATCTCCATTTTCCAGCTAATGAAAATAGGATTCCACTGAGTCTCCTATCTACCTACTCTAGGACTTCTGTGAGGATCAGATGAGATGAGGCATGGGAAAATGCTTCACAGAAATTTGGTTAAAGTGTGAAATGTTTCCACCTGGCTATGAAGCAAGTCGTGTTCCTGGGCTGAAGAAACTGCAAGGAGACTGGTCGCTAGGGAGAGGAAACCGGGCATTGCTATGTGATGTCATTACCCGGACAGACACTTAGCATATTAGCCATATATATATATATATATATATATATATCCTATTTTGAAAGTTACATGGTAGAACAAAAGTTTGTTTTTATAGAAGGAAAATTAAATGATTTTCCTTAACACCCTTTTATAAATACTTTATTTTAACCTTCTCCTGAGGATATGTTTATTGATTTTTATAAAGAAAGGGAGAGAGACATGGATTGCTTGCCTCCGGCTCATGCCCCAACCAGGGATGGAAACAGAAACTGAGGTATGTGTCCTGACCAGGAATCAAACCTGCAACCTTTTGGTGTACGGGACGATGCTCCAGCCAACTGTGCCATGGCCAGGGCTTCCCTTTTAAATACCCTTTAAAAAAATAACATAAATTTGATTTTTTTTAGAGTTTATGAGAGTTTATCATAAGAATCATTGGGTTTTCCAGAAAGTAAGAACGAAAATTTTTCTACTGATTTTTTTTTTTGATCAGCATAGCGAAGTTCTCTAGCCAGGTTCTGTCTTTATTGTCCTGTTACATCTGTATTTATACCAGTTGATTTTAATCCTATCCATCTCTACTAATTTATTATAGTCAGTGCTTTCTTCTGACAAATAACCTAAATATCGTGTGTGTGTGTGTGTATGTGTGTGTTTATTTGACAGAGAGAGAAAGAGAGAGATGTTCCTTTACACATTTATGTATTTCAGACAAATTAATGGAAGTACATTGTGAAAATGTTAGCCCAAAACTATTGGGTTCTTACATAGTTTCTCACTTTTAGAAAATAAACCACTGTTTTTCAGACTCTTGCAATTCAGCCTTTTATGAATTCCCTTGTAGGAGAGTTGTTAAATGCGTCAGAGGTCTTCTTTACATCCACAGGAAACAGAGTGGAGTTACTTTTCATATTCTATAGAAGGATAGGTTATAATGTCAAAATGGGATATTACATATGCAAGTGTCTAGGATCTAATGTTAATAAATTTGAGAACAAGGTTTGATTAGGGATAAATGGAAATTTGGCAGATTTATAGCTAGTTTTGAGTTTATTGTAATACTACCAAATAAGTTACATTGGAATACATTTTCTCACTCTATTAAATAGTTTTTCAAAATTTTAACACATATTTAAAAAATATAAATTAGAAAGTTTTATCTTTGGCACATATATAATAGTTTTCAAAACCTGTACCATAAATTAGATTAAACCTGACAACATATAATGATAATTGACCACTAAATTTCAAGGATAGGAAATTTTGCCATTTATTCATTTAGGTCAAATTTGATTGATTTGACAGATTCTTATGTATGGTTACTGGTAGATTAAAAAACAACAGCTACTTAGACAAAATATCCTTCTTCTTAGGCAAGTTTGTTGAATGTCCATATGTGAAGGCCATTTGGGAAAATTCTAGAGATTCTGTTATTAATTAAATGTTACATTTGATCAGGGGTCATCCTAAAATTGAGTGTTCTCATTTTTCTTAAAGTAAGGGAAGCATTCTTATAATGGTGAAATAAAGCTTTTTAGCTTATGTTATAGGCACAAGTGGCCCACAGAGCAAGGATGCATTTATTTTGGGAGCTGCCTTCAGCAACACTTTAAAAACTGAACTTGTGTATTCTTAAAATAACTATTTTAGAAAGAAGAATGAGATAGGTGTCATTAGTTTTTGGAGGATATAAAAACCATGTAAATATGAGTTTATATCAGATGGAATCAATAGTTGCTAATATTTGCTCCATTGTATAATCTCTAATAAAATAACTAAAGTAACAGTAACATGATTAATATTTAAGAAATTAATGACATCATTTCAATCAAATTTACATCTAAATACTAGCACTTTCCTTCAATGATATAATTTTTTGAAAAACAAAGCATTAAGAAATTTTCAAACATCAAGCTTACTTCCAAAAGAAGGATTATATCTCTCTTTGGATTATATCATTCTTTCAGGAACAACTGAGGTATATTATTTGGTTGTACAAAAGGATAATTGGAAAAGACTCCTTATTGGAATATAATCTTTACTTACATTTCACTTAGTGGATCTTTTGTTTTTTAATTGTCAAGTATGTTTTGGTTCTAAAGAACAGATTGGTTTACAAGTGTAATCATTCAAAGACTGTATGCATTAATTAGAGTGTCTTTATGAGGTAAGTTGCTTACATAATTCAGTTATACAGACTTCATATTTTCAGTCTGAACATTTGTAATATGCTGACTGGGATGTGTTGATATGTTATATATAAAACAATAATATATATAGATGAGAAATGTTACGTGTTTCCATTGTTGTTGTTGCTGTAAGAAGATCCATATGTATTTATTTTAACTCTGCCAAGACCTGGGAATAATGTGATACTAGTCATTACCTAATATCTTTATCTGGTGTTATTTTTACCATCCTGTTTCATGATTTTATATGCTGACTGGAATTTGAGCCTTTTGTTAATACAGTTTTAATTAACACACATATCTCTGTAGGTTTCTTTTTCTTAAAAGGGATTGTTTGGGGCTAATTAGAAATTAAACTTAAAAATTGATATTCTTATTTTATAACAGATATATGTGAAAAATAAAATTTCTTGAAAATGCTTTTTATACTCATTTAGATTCTCTTTTCAGGGCACAGCACTAGAAGATTTCAGTCATCTGCCACCAGAACAGAGACGTAAAAAACTACAGCAGCGCATTGACGAACTTAACAGAGAACTACAAAAAGAATCAGATCAGAAGTATTTTTCCATTAAGTTCTCTCTACCATTATTATTCCTTTCAGAGTCTATTTTGAGTGATGTGTTTAGGTGTGATGTATAAAAAAGTTTAAAAATCATTCATCCTAGTTGAAATATCTTTTGAGGGGAAAAAACACTCTGAAGTGTTTATGGTTGCTGTGTCACAAGTAAAAATGAAATTTTAGAGTTTCTTGGGTTGCAGATTACTTATTGGAGCTAATCGTATATATTTATGCCTTCCAAAACTTTACAAAATCACTTGATGACTCATTATCAACTACCTCTTATGCTTGGATAAATTTCATTTTGCTTTGGTTTATAAATTGAGTTCAGTAGAAACCTGAAGCTATAATTATTTCTTTTGCAGCAAAATATGTTGGTAAATAGTACTTAACTATGGCTTCAGATTCACTCACTCAGTGCTTTATTTTTTCCCCAATTTTATAAAAACATTCCTGTATTTCAGTTTTGTTTTAATGAACATAGAGAGCTATGATGAATAAAGGGTTGTTACAGTGAATTGGTGACTTATTATCTGCTTTTACACTGAAGATAAAATTGGAGCTTAAGGTCTGGCATGAGTGATTAAAAGAATTGCTAAGAATGATATATCAGATATGATTGTCTGCTTGATTATAAGTGAAGTAAGGCATTACAATCAGTTCTCGTCATTGGTGGCAGGTAGGCTCTCTAAAGTCACTGTGAACACTGGTCAGTGAATACCAAAACAGAAAATACAGGGCTCCAGATATTAGCCTCTGTCACAACATTTGTATTAACTGATCTATGCATAACCTTGTTTTATGCTTTCTTAAAGACAAGTTTTTTAATATATATTGTTGATTCATTAACTTTGAACTCAGGGCCAACACCACGGTAGCTCATGCCTGAACAGAGCTTGTATAACATGTATTTTCTCCTCACAGCCTTCTCGCTCTTAGGAATACTAGATAGTACTTCAGCTCTACGCTTACGGGCTCTCATAAAGAGAAAAATCACCAACAATGAGCACAGAAAGGACACTTGTCCAGAGTATCAGAGCAGAAATAAGAAGTTAAAGTATCTCCTTGTTTGAACTCAGCTGAGAATGTACACATCAATCAGATGACTCAAATTTTTCTCCACTCTGTGCATGTCTAATGACTATAAAAATGCCACATGTGTTCCTTTTTGGATTACAAATAAATGTTAGCAAATGGGCAATTCACAGATACGGAATCTGCAAATAATGAGGACCAACTCTATTAGTATTACATTTTTTATTGAGGTATATTTGACGTATTAACATATTAGTTTCAGATGTACATCATGGCTCAATATTTGTATATATTGCAAAATGATCACCATGATAAGTATTTAATATTTTTCACCATATATAGTCACAAAAATGTTTTTTCTTGTGATGAGTAACTACTCTCTCAGCCACTTTCAAATATACAATACAGTATATACCATGTTGTATATTACTTCCCCATTAAATAATTTTTAAATGTTAAAATATTTCTTACTAGAGCAACATGTAAATGGTCTCTAGGAAATTATAACATATAATGTAATATTTAGGGCTTACTATATGTAATAGACTGTCAGGACTTTAGTAGATACAAAAAGGTAATAAAATAGTTCCTGATCCTAATAGGCTCACATTTTAGTTAGGAAAGATAAAAACTCAGTGATTTAATTTCTGTACAAGCTGGATTATTATAGCTGCTAATAGAGAGATAAAGTTTTGGGGGAACCTAGAGGAAAAAAATAATGAATTCCTACTGGGATAATTAAGACGAATGTCACTGGGGAGAAGTTGGGGGAAGAGGAAGGGTGATTGTGTAGGAAACTGATGTTTATTGAGGGATTATTATGTACTAGAAAGTGAACCCAGCATTTTACATTGAATTCCTCAAAATAGCCCTCTGAAGTTGTTGTTCCTGTTATAAAGGTGGAGAAATTTAGTATCAAATATATCCATAATGTGGCTCAGATTAGGTATCTGGTAAATATCAGAGTTGACATCCAAACAGCTGGTTTGTTTCCAGAACATTGGAGTTAGACTTTGACAGGAGGATAGGGTTTTGTCAGACAAGAAATTAGACAATAAAGGGAGAGTAAGAATATTTAAGGACAAGAGGAAAACAAAGAATAAAAGCACAGAAATGTGAATATTCTTTCATGGCCTGGAACTGGCTCTAGGCCAGAGAGGACTTGATTAGAAATTATGTGCAGTATAATATCAGAAGATGAGGATGAAAAGGTACAGGATGAATTATATAAAGTGTTGAATGCTTTTTTGTAGAATTCTGGAGGTATTGGAGAGTCACCAAAAGTTGTTGAAAAAGTAGGTGATACTATCACCTCTGTATTCTAAAGAAAGATAATTGAAAACTATATGAAGAGTAGATTTTATAGGAAAGACATTGACATCAGGGAGAACAATTAGAGGACTTCTTTTTTTTAAATATATTTTTTATTGATTTCATAGAGGAAGGGAGAGGGGAAACATCAATGATGAGAGAGGATCATTGATCGGCTGCCTCCTGCATGTCCCCGACTGGGGATTGAGCACGCAGTCCAGGCATGTGCCCTTGATTGGAATTGAACCTGGGACCCTTCAGTCTGCAGGCCAGTACTCTATCCACTGAGCCAAACCAGCTAGATGAGAGATGTTGAAACCGTGTCTTGAAAATAGAAAAGAGTAGATTATAAGAATTGTTTAAAAGGCAAAGTAGGTCAGACTTGTCATCTGATTGGATGTCCAAGAAGAGAAAAATGGAGGCTTTCTACCTCGGAAGTATAGATAAAGACTTAATTAAAACAGTAAGAAAAAATAAATTTGGGGCAAAGGTCATGGTTTTGTTTATGTTGATTTTTGAAATATGTGAAAATCTATATGAAAGTATGTAGTTGGATTTGGAAATCAAATCTAGAAATTAGGAGAAAAAGAGGACGAGATATATACTTGAGTATCATCTAAAGATAGGTGATATTAAAGCAATGAGTCAATTATATCTCACTAAAACTGGAAAAAAACAAAACAAGAAGACATCATTCTGAAGGAGGAGTGTAGGATGAGATGAGAAGAAACCTATGTCATTTTATGTAACATACATTTAAAGGATGAAGGAGGAAGAGGAGCCAGTGAGGGAGATATAAGACAGCAGAGTGAGGAGAAGGAAAAAGAAAATGTACTCTCCAGGAGATCAGGCAGGAAATGAGTATTAAGGAGTGTAAGTCAGTACTGTCGGCTGTCAGAGTTGAGGAGAGCTGATTGAGTCATAACCTATTATTATTATGATTAGTGAAGAGGAGGTGAATAACTGAATTTGGAGGTAGAGGGCAAGTTAAAGATGCATTTCTATTTCTAGTATAGATGGGTGGGAGGATGCTGATGCTGTGAACTCTAAGAAAAGGTGGAATAATGTCTAGATCAGAATATGAGTTTGATTTGGGATATGATAAGTTTAAGAATATTGAGGAATATCTTCCAGCCTTTGATGAAGCATATATGTATAGGTCTGTGTGTGTGTAT